AGAAAGAAATGATACGTGGCAACCGAAATAACGGCTGGACTGGTATTAAGAGCTCCTCACCTAAATGCCTCTACTCTTATGGAGAGCAAATCAGCTAAGCTATCAGATTTGCCACAAGCCGGCCTCTTAGTTGAGTTATGATGGAAAAGACAAGATTTACGTCGCCCAAGAACGACGAAGGAGTCTAACAAGCTACAGGTGAAGGGATCCTTGATATTTGACGACGGTTGACGGTTGACAGAACAAACAAAAAACAGGGAAGAAAAGAGACGAATAAAACAGAGAACGTATTTCTCGCCATGCCCATCAATGGACTTTATTCACGGATAAGAACTGTCAAATAGTGATTTGAGTTTAGACACGTATAGGAAGTTCTGCTGTTACCACAGTTACTATTACTAATACATGTATATCTATAATCTTACGCAGTGACGACGGCGACACCGAGTACAACGCCTATTAGAAAATGTATTCATATTTCGCTTAAGAATTTTTCAGTTGTTTACACGGTTTGTAGGCAGAACAATAGCTTCCACAGGCTCAATAATAGAAAGCCGTAATGGTTCACGTTCTCCAAAATACTCGGAACGTGGACATTTCCTGACGCTGTTTTGTAGAAGACGGCAATTACAGAGGTACATAGTGCACTCTGCTCATTAAGCATTTTGTTTGGCGATGTTCTCGTTGCCGTTGCCCTCGTGGTTTGCGTAAGGTCCGTCTTAAAAATTCGACAACGTCCCGGACGTTTCCCTGTATGTCCCGTATCCGCGGGTGTCCCTCGGGTGTCCTTCGGAAAGCACGCGAACGGACGAGAATAACTAACTTATTCGACGCAGCATGATATTTACACACTGAGCGTTCAAAATAGTAAACAGGCGAAAAACGTTTTCAAACTTCTATTTACACTACTTTTACTACGAGATAAAAATTACGAAGACGCCGTCCAGTTTCCACGGGACGGAACAGCGCGATAAAAATCCGATTAGGGATGATAAGTTACGTGTAATCTCCGCACCCTGAAAACACCGCACCGTCAAGTGAAGGAATCATTCTGTCGAGACAAACAGGGCAACGAACAACAATCAAAACATAGACACATGTAACAAGACATGCCAACAGCAAAAACCTGTAATTCCACTCTAACAACATGCACAAAATCTCTTTTATTGCGTTTACGTATCGTGTAGGTTTGCCTCCCTATATCAAGAAGTATTGGAAGGGGAGGAGAGGGGAGTGGAAAACGTGTATGCTGTTGGTTAGGAGAAGTGTAACACAAACAAGCAGGTAGAAACAGACTTGCCTTTAGTTCCATTGGCTGTATGAATGATCTGTAGTAAGCACCGTCCAAATTCTTCAAGAATCATCTTTTCGGTCACTGCCTGAGACTTTCCCACCTGATGATAGAATCACGAGGCAAGTCTGAGGAACGCTCAAGGTTTGAAGGAAAGGGCAGAGGGGTGGGTAAGGGAGAAGCAGAGAGTAGAACCTCTCACTCTGCTGTTGTATGGGGAGTTTCGACGTTTTCTTGTTTTCCAGGGATAATTGACTTCAGAAGCTCAAGACCACCTGACATATTCCATCTACACGGATAAAAAATAATGACAAGGAGAACCTCCAGTGATGTCATTTGACTGGAACAGTTTAAGTAGCGTTTCTCTTCTCATCTGTTCCTGTTGATTTAGTTTTCAATTCAAGGTCGCAAACAAAGAAAAAAAAAGAACATACACTTTCCGCCTCTGAGGCTTGAGCCAACAGACACTGACAAGTGGCTTGCACTACTTCGTCTGTCACGAACGAGAAAGGAAGTCTGCAAAAATAACACACAACTTGTTGCTGAAAAGCTATCCAGCAGATACTTTAATACAGTCCAGTTCTCTAAACCACAAATTAAATCTCAAGCCAAGCCCCTTGTCAAGTTTACAAGTCCTTCCTGGATGCAAAGGAGATTGTGTCCCACTGAGCACTGTTTCGATCATAGCCTGTGGCAGGGATTTGATTAACTGGGGAGCGTGTTTTTAAGCTTCATCCCAACAACGTAACACATGGAATAGGCTATGATTCAATCAGTGTTGGAACACGCTAGCCGAGTTTGATCAACGTTATATAAACGATGGTGCGATCTTTTGATTAGCTCCACTCACAAAAAAGTATGAAACTCGTATCATTTTAAAGCACCCAAATTACATGAGCCAATCTTGAAATGCTACTACGAGCAATGGCACAAAATGAAAATCTCCTGCACATACTAACCTCTCTCCAGAGCTGGACAAGAAGGTTGGTCGGGATGGCAGGTCTTCTATTTGAGACTCCAGTTTAGTTCTGGCAGCATTCTGTTGCTTTACACGAACCTCTGTAAAGAGCAACAACAACGTGCGATTGACTTCTACGTAAATGAAATAATTAACTGAGACAAGACCTCTCAACCTTTAAAACAGGATCTCAGTTGAAAAGCTGCCTGGTTTAAAATTACTTCCTAACTTAACATTTTCCATGAGAGGGTTCTCATTTATTTAGGGAGTAGAGGGCTACTTTCATGAAGGAGACGGCTGACACCACTTTGAGTGCCGAAGTCAAAAGCCTCTAGGGAGGTTCCCTCAGAAAAGTTTGAAATTGAGAGGCTCCAACATGCGATTTTCAGCATTCTCTTGGAGATATTTCCTTTTCCAAAATCAATTTTGGAAAAGCTCAAAATGCCAGGATTATTAAGGGATTACAAAGACTTTTTTCCAATCTTATCATACAGTGCTGGTGTAATTGAAAACCTACACCACACCCTGACCCCATGGCCCGTCTCTAGCTACAGCCTTGACTGTGTACCTCCAAAAAGCCTGTGTTTTCCCTAAATTACTCTTTACAAATTACTAATCAGAGCAAACCATCTTCCATGGAATGCTACATTCTGAGTTCTGATCAGCTAACGTACCTGCGGCATCTGCTAAGTGCATTAAGGTTTTCCTCTCAGGACTTTCTTCAAAATTCTTGCATCCTGTGCATTTACAAAGATTTGTACATAAAATCTTGGCCTTCAAAGATAAGAAAAAAAGAGAATGAGTCAGACATCTCATAAAGCTAACTGTATCTTTATAACATAAAACAAACTAGCAAGCAAAGTTAATGTAGAATAGGTAACAACTTGCAGTCAAGTCTCTTGCACATTTGAATCAAGGTTTCCTTTTCCTGTATCCATTTCAATGTATGCTCCCAAGTGGAAGAGACACTATAGGAGTCAAATGTTCTGCTCTAGAATACATCCGCCTGGCCACTACCTGAACCTGGATTTCCTAATCCAGAGTCCAGACCACTAATACATGTAGTTAGGCCATGATGCCTTCCACAGCTAGTGTTGAGTGCCTGGTCTTTATAAAGTGACGAGAATGATGAACCAGCTGCAGGGACATGTACATGTAATACTTTACTCACAACTTCAGCAAATTGAGAAATTGATCATCAAAAACCTAATCAAAATTTTTAAACCTCAAAAGCAAAGTGTCACGCTGAATCCAAGAAAGAAACAGTTCCATACCTCATAGCATTCACAGTAGTTTTTTAGGCATCCTGAACGCTTACAATGGCAACCTGTTAAAGACAGTAGGATAAATGAATCAAGCGCCTATGAATCAAAAGTTGTCAGAC